GAATAGGAAACGCTCCGGGCTTCCTGCTTCTTCCACAGTCGTGGCTTCCACTTCCCCTATTGTTCAACTTCCTTCTCCACAATCTTCCTTAAATCACAGTCTTCCCTCCTCCCCCCACCATCACCCTCGCCCTCCCCTTCCACTCCTTCCCACGCACATTCAAGTTTCATAGCAGTTTGCAAGGAACTGGGGGGAACGGTTGCAAGGGAAGGGGGGCAGCTCTGCAGAGCCCGGGGTGGTCTGTCCCTCCAGGTTGTATCCCTGGGCTGGGAAGTCAGGGATAGATGAGGATCCGGGAGGGAGCACGAAGCTCCGGGCGGTGGAGGGACCAACTGCCCAGGAGGGGAGCGGGCGAGAGCCCGCACCCACAGCCCCCCCGTCCCAGCGAGGGAGTTGCTCTGGCTGCTCCTGCCCTGTTGTTGTTTGCTCGTTAACAGCTAAAGTGTCGGAGTACGGACTGCTGGGCCAGCCCAACACCATCCGCACCAACTTCACCACCAAGCAGCTGACGGAGCTGGAGAAGGAGTTTCACTTTAACAAGTACCTCACCCGGGCCCGGAGGGTGGAAATCGCCGCCACCCTGGAGCTCAACGAAACCCAGGTCAAGATCTGGTTCCAGAACAGGCGGATGAAGCAGAAGAAGAGGGAAAAGGAAGGTCTTGCCCCGCCTGCTGCCTCCAGGTCTGCGAAGGAAGCGAGTGAAGCCTCGGATCAGTCCAACTGCACCTCACCTGAGGCCTCCCCCAGCTCGGTGTCTTCCTGAAACGCGTCCCCGCAGGGGCACAGGGATCAGCCCTCGAGGGGCAGCTGCTCCCTGCAGACCCCAACACGCGCGAACACGCACCTCCCACGCACAGCCCCGTCCGCACACACGCGTGGAAGCAAGGCCACGCTTCCCTCCGAGCAGTCCCTTCGGCTCCGGCCGTCTCCACGCGTGTGATACCAGTTCTCCCGCTCGCATTTCTCTCTCTTAATTTATAGACCCTCTGTAAAACACTGGACTCCAAAGGAGCAGCCGTGTCCTCCTATATCCTTAGCAATAGGCGTTTGTCTCAGGGACTTTTCTGCCTCTCCCTTCTCCCTCCCCTATAGGAACTGCACTTTCAACCACAGAAACTTTAAAACGAATTTAGTTCTCTCCCGTTTTAAAAATGTGCACAAGGACTTTTGCCTGCAAGAATCCTACGTTTGATGTATTTTTCCTCCCCGCGAGATTATAAAAAAGTTTTGGGTATTTTTTTGTTTCCCTTTTCTTTACTGTATGTATACCTTGGAATGAGATCTGAGGCGCCCAAGACGCTAGAGGCCTCCGCAAAGACCCAAACAAACACCAAACAAAAATGCAACTCCTCAGCTACCATTTTGCACTATTACTGCTTTACAGGGTTTTCTACACGCTCTGCGACTGTGACTGTTACTGATTCTGGGGGAGGGAGGGTTGTGCTATCAGAGAAAACGAGATGAGGCGAAGGCTGACCTCGGGGTACTTTGGGCAACGGTCACTGTCGCAGGAGGTGTGAAGGTGGACGGGAACAAGGCTGCGGGGGGGCCGCGGGACTTGGCTCCCCCAGGCACTGATGCACTGGCTGCTATTTATTGTACGTCTCGATAGCCTGAAGTCTTGGAGCGAAGTAGCACGGTTCCTTGTACCCCCACCCTCTTAGGCTTATCGGAGTCCGATAAAACCATTATTTAACCATGGCTAAATTGTTTCCCTTCCCCAAGAGAAACTTTGGGGTAGGACGAACCGAAAACCACGGCAACTTTTGTCAAAGATTGTTTTAAAGAGAAAAACATCATCAAGAAAAACTAGCGGTTTCTGAATCGGAATCTTACATTTCCCCTCCACTCCCGTCCCCGTGCTCTGTATCTCGAAATGAAACTACCTCAGTCTAATAAAGTTTACTTTTTCCACACGCAAGTCCTCTCGACTCTAAACGAAATGGAAATATCTCCCGTCCGGGGAAATGCGCGACACGGGGCGGGGGGAGCCCGGGCTCG